AGGCTGGCGCTTCAGTTGAACCCAGGTACCTTTCTCTTCGGCTTCCTTCTTTTTCTGATCATTTTCCTTCACACGTTTCAGGAAGCTATCTCGGCTCTTAGAGTGCTTAATGTGTTCAGTATGCACATTAATCCTCTTAGCAAGAATCCTGCCCTTAACTTGTTTGTTTACAACAATTCCAACAGCATGCTGGGTAACATTATAGACTCTTCTAGTTTTGCCATGGTAACATTTGTGGGGCATGCCTTTTTGAACAGTACCCATTCCCTTGATGTCCACAATATCACCTTTCTTGTAGATTCTCATGTATGTGGCCGAAGGAACAACTCCATGTTTTCTAAAAGGCCTAGAGAACATGTATCGCTTGCCTCTCCTCTTTCCCTTTGTGTTTGTCATTTTGGCGAATTACTGGAAGATGGCCTCTATTTTATTCTTAAACCCCTTAGAAGTCTAGCAAATACTCCAAAAAGCCCTTTTAAGTAAACTTGGGCTTTAATCTCCTTTCTAATCGTGGCATCCATTTTATGAGATCTCTAGAAGAGAAAAAAAAAGTCCTACATGCTATCTCAGGGCAGACGAGCACCATAAGAAGTGAAATGCTAAACATATTAGTGAGTTAATATAATCAGATTCTGATTAAATAAAGCCCAAATTAACAGTGGATAAGGTGTTAAGCAGAATGGAGATGACATTCAGTGCAGTAATGAAGGATTGCTCAGGAATCTTTGATTGTAAACAAATTACCAAAAGAAGGCAGTGAGGATATGCTGTTTGAAATATTATGGGCCTCTTTAAGTCAATTGTGGCAGTCCTCAAAGTCAGAGTCAGAGTCGGAAAGGCACCTACACAAGCTTTATAAATATATAAGAAGTCTGCAATCCACACATTTAAAGTCCACCTTCTGAGAAACTACAACCTCCCCCAGGGTACAGTTGAGAACATTACAGCTGGAAAGCTCTTCCTCATTACTTCCCTCCATAGTTCCTGCCAAAATTTATAGTCATTCATGGGGATGACTAGACACTGGAAATTGCCACATTCTAGGGCTTTGAACTTCCCTATTGTTATTCCAAAGCTTATTTTAGACTCTTCCTTTAGAAAGGATGAAGAGCTATTTAACACTTCCCAGATTATCCAGATTGGAGTCCTTTTACCATAGCCCCAGGAAATGGGAGAGGTACAATCGAGCAATGAATTCCTGGCATGGTGTGAAAGGCCCTCATTAAGCCTAACCTCCTCAGCATTCCTGGAATTAAGCGAGAAATAGGGAGCAAATACTCAATACATCATTGAAAAGTTGTGCAGACAAAAGGGCACAACATAATTAAAGACAGAAGAAAATGATTCAGTCATGTGGCAAAGAGCCCAAAAGAAGGGTGAGAAAAACAACATCTCAAAAGATGAATCCTACTTTAATATTTGAAAGCTTTGTTATTGGGTAAATAAAAGAGATCCAGAAACAACTAGCGCTAAAGAGAAGTACAGCTGAGCTTTCTAGTGGTATCTGAATGAAATGAGGGTGAATGCCTTTGAAAACAACATGGGCATCAGTCCACAAACTCTTTGGGCATCGGAGAACGTTGAGCAGAGTGTGAACTAGCTACGGGGCCATCTATGAGGCTCCAGGGAAACCACCCATTTTGGTCTCTCCTTAGTTTATCTAAAAGAAAATATTTTAAAGTAAGAAAATTTACAAGTCATATTTCCAAAATCAGAATTTTGTGAGTAAACAAAGATAGCTAAAAACAGTGCTTAAGAAATCAGTATTCTTCCCCTTTATAAAACAATTCCATATTTACTCTATCGTTTGAAGTACTGTAGCAACCATAAGAGGTGAGGATTATTTTCCTCAGTTTATAAATATTAGTAAGAGTAAGGAGACCCAGAAAAATAAAGTGATTAGAATGAAGTCAGTAAGGTACTTAAGGGGAGGTGGACCATTTTGACATCCTCTACAGCTGCAGTCCCCAACCCCAGGGCCCCAGACTGGGTGCCTGTTAGGAACCATAGAGAAATGCTGCCTAGCCAAAAAATGTCGCCTGAACTAAACGTTTTTCTGGATGTGATTAAAATTATCAACCACATTAAAGTACATGCCCTTAACTCACATCTGTTCGTGCAGCTCTGTGAGGAAATGGACGCAGAGCACACACGTCCTCTCTTAAACATGGAAGTGAGATGGGTTTCTAAAGGTAGACCACTGGCCAGAGTTTTGAGTTACGAGAGCCGCTCCAGAGATTTGTTTTAGAGAAACAGTCAGCACTGGCAGCACATTTCAGTGACACAGAATGGGTCACAAAACTTGCTTACTTGTGTGACATATTCAACCTACTCAACCAACCCAATCTGTCACTTCAGGGGAGAACGATAACTGTGTTCAAGTTGGCAGATAAAGTGGCTGCATTCAAAGCCACTGCAATTATGGGAGTGACAAGTCAACACTGGGATTTTTGACATGTTTCAAACATTAGCAGAGATTTTGAAAGAGACTGAGCCAGGGCCTTCTTTCTCCCAGCTGGGGCATGATCACCTATCTCACCTTTCAAAGGAGTTCAAGCATAACTTCCCAACCACAGAAGACCCCTGAACTGGGAAGGAATTGATCTGCCACCCATTTGTGAATTAGCCAGGTGAATCGACTTCGTCCGTGCTAGAAGAGGATCAACTATTTGAGATCACAAATGACAGTGGCCTTAAAAGTATGTTGGAGACAACTTCAAATCTCCATACCTTCTGGATGAAACTCAAGGTGGAATATCCTGAGATTGCCACAAAAGCACTGAAAAGCCTGCTTCCATTTCCAACATCCTGTCTTTGTGAAGCAGGGTTTTCTGCAGTGATAGCAACCAAAACAAGATTACAGAGTAGACTGGACATAAGCAACACACTTAGGGTGTCACTGTCTCCAATCAACCCCTGATGGACCATCTACTTGCAGAAAAATAAGCTCAGGGATCCCACTGATTATGCATTATGGCGAGTTATATAATTATTTCATTATATATTACAATGTAGTAATAATAGAAATAAAGTGCACAATAAATGTAATGCGCTTGAATCATCCCAAAACCATCCCCCACCCTACAGTCCGTGGAAAAATTGTCTTCCATGAAACCCACACCAATATAGTCAACTATCTCTGATAAAGATAAAAGCGTAATTGAATGAAGAAAGGATAGTCTCTTCAACAAATAGGGATGGAAAAACTAGATACCCACATGCAAAAAATAAATCTAGACTCTACACCCTTCACAAAAATTAAAATCAAAGTGGATCATAGATGTAAATGTAAAATGCAAAAATATAAAACTCCTAGAAAATAACATACTAGAAAATCAAGGTGACCTTAGGTTTGGCAATAACTTTTTAGATATAATACAAAAAACATGCTCCATTAAAGAAAAAATTGATTAGTTGGGTTTCTACAAAAGATACTGTTAAGAAAACGAAAAGAGAAGCCACAGGTTGGGAGAAAATCTTTGCAAAACACATATCTGATTAAGGTCTGGCATCCAAAATATATAAAGAATTCTTTAAATTCAACAATAAGAAAATAAAAAAAACAATTTAAAAATAAACAAAAGACCCGAATAGATACCTCACCAGAGAAGATATACAGGTGGCAACTAAACATATCAAAAGGTGCTCTACATCGTATGTGATTAGGGACTTGCAAATTACAGTAGCAATGAGGTGCCACTACACACTCATGAGAACGGCTAAAATCCCAAACACTGACAAGACCAAATGCTGGCGAAGATATGGAATGAACTCCTGTTCATTGCTGGTGGGAATATGAAATGGCACAGCCACTTTGGAAGATAGTTTGGCGGTTTCTTACAAAAGTAAACATACTCTAAGAACATGACCCAGCAACTTAACTCTTCATTATTTACCCATGAGTTGAAAACTTACGTCCACACAAAAAACTATACAGAAACGTTGAGAGCAGTTTTAATTATAAATGCAGAAACTTGGAAGCAACTGAGATGTCCTTTGATAGGTGAATGGATAAATAAACTGTGGTATATCCACACAATGGATTATTCAGCTCTAAAAATAAGTGAGATATCAAGTCATGAAAAGACTTAGAGGAACCTTATATGCATACTGCTAAGTAAAAGACACCAATCTGCAACGGTTACATACTGTATGATTCCTATCATATGACATACTGGAAATTTCAAAACACAGTAAAAAGAAAGATCAGTGGTTGTTAGGATTTTGTAGAAGAGAGAACTACATTGAGTGCAAGGGACATTTAGGGCCATGAAACTATTCTGCATGGTGATGTTGCAATGGTGGATACATGTTGTTATACATTTGTCAAACTCATAGAATGTGAAACACAAAGAGTGAATCCTAATGTAAACTATGAACTTTACTTAATAATACTGTTTTAATATTGACTTATCAATTATAACAAATGTACCATATTTAAAAGATGTTAATAACAGGGAAAACTACATGGGGGGTGGGGAGAAAGGCAGTAAGAGATCTCTCCGTACTTTCTACTCAATTTCTCTGTAAAGTAAAAGTGCTCTAAAAGTTAAAATCTACAATAGTTTTTAAATTCAACTTTAAACATAAGGAACAGCTTTAACATAGATTTCAATAAAATAATCATTTATCTAATATAAATGAATCATGTCTTATTATTTTTGATAGCAGAGAAACACAATATTAAATGGATAATTTGGTTAAGAACAGTAAAGACCACAATTTCTGTCAATATGTTCAACAACCCAGTTTAATCTCCTATAAAATTTTTCACTGAAATAAATAGGGATGGGATTTCTACATTAATTCCTCTTTACCTAATGCCAAACTCACAGGATGGAAGTTTAAGACAGAATAACCAGATCTATTGCCTATTTTTACAGCACCAGAAGGCCATGAGACAGGAACTGAAACAGCACAGAATGAATCCAAACATAAAAGACAGTAAAAATCCCCAATATCAGCCATGATCTCAGCTTCAGGCAGTGTTAGTGACCTACCATCATCATCCTCTCGTTTTCTACTTCGTTGAGTAACTCAGCAAATTCCTTGAAGGACTCAGCTGGAAGGAGAGAATAAAAGGTAAAGCAAATTAATCATGATACTTGATAGACAAGTGGACAGCAATCTGTGCAACAAGAAGTAGGGACCAATGCCTGAAGCCCACATGACCGCTAGAGGAAGGCGTCAAACCTAAGGCCAACATAATAATGTGTTCCGTACCTGTTGAATGTTTCTTTTTTTTCTTTTCTTTCCCTTTTTGCTAATCCCCAAACTCGAAGAGTTCTTTCATAGCTAATATTTTATTTAATTCTTACAGCCACTCTCAGGAGTTGCTGGGACTTCTCTCATTTCACAAATAATCAGAAAGATTGGGGAACAAGCAATAGGTTCGCCATGCAAAGAATGGCAGCTAGAGCATCCTGAAACTTCAGTTTAGGTCCCTTCTCCACTATTCACCAACCTGAAAGTGTTGCTCTTTAGATGGAAAATGTAGAGTTTTAACACAGAGTTGACAAAAACATTGCCCCTTCACCAGCACTTTCCCAACTTTCTACCCTTTTAATGCCAATTCTACCACTTACTGGCAAGGTGACTGGGCAAGTCACTTATTCGTGGACTTCGTTTCTTTATAAAGAAAAGATAAAGTAAACTAAATAGTCTTTAGTGCCACTTCAAATTCCCCAGCTACTCAGCAGAAGCAAGAAGTACATAAGCAACTAGTATTGAATTAAAGAGAACATATTGAAAGCCTGCATAAACGAATATATCCATATCAATATTTTTAATAAAAAATAGATTTCCCTTTCTAAGAGAAACAGACAACTAGTCCAGCATTCCTAAGTTTAGGACACAAGACGATGGCATTTCTTTCTTCTGAGGATTCAGTTGCTGCACATATCCAAGGAGCTCACCTTTGAAAGTACTGTAAATTAATTCAAAGCTCAACCTTACCATATAGAAGATAAATGCTATACTCAGAAAGAGTAAATGGGAAAATATGGCAATGTTCATTGATCTTCTGTTCCCAAAACTTTATGCTACAAAAGTAGTCCGTGATTTTTTTTTTTTTTTTTACTCTGGCATTTTTACAGGCAAAATGAATTTACCTCCAAAGGAAATGTGACAAGTATCATTATAACATTTAAAGGAAAAAACTAATTTCCTGAACCGTAAATGTGTCAAGCCATCTGCCTAAGGGTTTAATCCTCGCAATAACTTTATTAGGTTCATGGCTCTCAGAGGATAAGCAACTTGTTTAAGATCACACAGAAAGCAAATGGCAGAGCCAGGTTTCAAATCCAGCCCTGTCTTGCTGCCACTATCACACTGCCTATACCTCTCTAGGTAGAGGTAACAGATGATTAGATTACTAAATACCATGTGAATAGACAACTACATAATAGATAAGGGAAATCCGTGACTACCAGCACCCGGGCTATTAAAACCTGGGCATCATCATTCTTGAGGAAATAAATTCCAAATTCAATGATGTCAAGGATATGACAAAGTGAGCTTTGGCTAAAAGGACAGACACATCATTTTTTAAAAATTCAGATATTTACATACCATAAAATGTACCACTTTTAAAGTGTACAACTCATTGGATTTTAGTATATTCATGGAGTCACAGAAATATCACCACTATCTAATTCCAGAATATTTTCGTCACCCCCAAAGGAAACCCCAAACCCACGACCATCACTGCTCATTCCCACTTTCTCCCCACACCCAGACAACCCCTAATCTACCTACCTGCTGTCTCTATGGAATTGCCTACTCTAGACATTTCATATAAATGAAAATGTACAATATATGACCTTTACATCCGGTTTATACAACCAAGAACATTTGTGTACAAGTCTTTGTGCGGATATGTTTTGACTTCTTTTGGGTATATCTTAAGCATGGAATCGCTGGATCATATGGAACCTCTTTTATCTTTTTGAGGAAATGTCAAAACTGCTTCCCAAAACCATTTTATATTACCCAAAGCAATGAATTAGCATTCTAATTACTCCTCATGCTTGCTGATAGTTATTATTGTTCGTCTTTTTGACACTCACAATTCTAGTGGGTTTTAAGTGGTATCTCACTGTGGTTTTGTTTTGAATTACCCTAATGACTAATGATATTAACCATGTTTTCTTTTCATGTGGTTATTAGCCATTTGTATATCTTCTTTGAATAAATTTCTACTAGGATTTTTTGTCTGTTTTTAACTGAGTTATTTGTCTTGATTGTTGAGTTGTAAGAGTACTTTACATATTATGACCACAAGTCCCTTTTTGGATAGATAATTTGCACAAATTTTTTCCCATTCTGTGGGTTGTATTTTCACTTTCATTACAGTATCCTTAAAAGAATAAAGGTTTAAAATTTTCTTGAAGTCTAATTTATGCCTTTTTCTTTTCTTGCTTGCACTTTTGGTGTCATATGTAAGAAACCACTGCTTAATCAAGGTCATGAAGATTTATATTGTATGTATTCTTCTAAGAGACTGACAGTTTTAGCTCTTACTTTTAGCTCCTTGATTCATTTTGAGTTAATTTTTGTACATGCTGTGAGGTAGAGATCTAACTTCATTCTATCACATGTGTCTATGCAGTTATCCAAGCACCATCTGTTGACAATTCTTTCCCCTACTGAATTGTCCTCACATCCTCGTCAAAAATCACTTGACCATAAATTAAGGGATTATTTAAGCACTGTTAATATTATTCCATTGTTCTCTGTGTCTAGTCTTATGCCAGTATAATGTAGTCATGATAACAGTATGTTTGTAATGGTTTTTGGAAAGGGAAAGTTAGTACTCCCACTTTCCTTATTTTTCAAGATTTGGCTATTCTGGGTGGCTGGAATTTCCACATGAATTTTTGTTATCACCTTCACAGAGATTTTGGTGTATATTGTGTTAAATTTTTAGGTCAATCTGTGGATAGTTGCGAACTTAATACTATTACTTCTTCTGATCCATGAACTTGGGGTATCTTTGATTTAGGTATCAGGTAATATTGTCCTCAGAATGAGTTGGGAAATGTTTCCTCCTTTCTAGTTTTTTGGAAGAGTTTGTGAAGGAACCAGGTTAATTCTTTAAATATTTGGTAAGACTCACCAGTAAAGTCACCCAGGCTGGGGCATTCCATTGTGGGATATTTTCAATTACAAATTCAATCTCTATTTGTTATAGGTCCATTCACATTTTCTATTTCTTCTTAGGTCAGTTTCAATAGTTTGTGTCTTTCTGGAAATCTGTCCATTTCATCTAAGTTATCTAATTTGTTGGCATACTACAGTTGTTCCTCAGTATATGTGGAGGGACTTATTCCAAGACCCCCATGCCTCTCCACAAAATTTGTGCATATTTAAGTCCCAGAGTCAGCCTTGCAGAACCTGTATATACAAAATGTCAGCCCTCCATATGTACAAGTTTGGCAACACAAGTATTCTGTATTTTCGATCCATGTTTATGTGAAAAAAATAATCTTTAAGTGGACCTACACAGTTCCAACCTGTGTTATTCAAGGATCGCCTGTATATAGTATTTCCTAATAATTAGCTTTATCTCTTTAAGCTTACCAGTAATAACCCCTATTTCATTCCTGATTTTAGGAATTTGAGTATTCTCATGGTCAGTCTAGCTAAGGGTTTATCAATTTTGTTTAACTTTATGAAGAACAAATGTTTGGTTAAATTGATTAACTTATTGTTTTGACAAGGTTACAGTATTACTATATTGTTTTTCTATTCTCCATTTCATTAATTTCTTCGCCAGTCTTTATCATCTGCTTCCTTCTGTTTATATTTGGTACACTTTGGTTTTCTTTTTTGAGTGTCTTAAATTGGAAGCTTTGGTTATTGATTTCTTTGTTCTTTTATAATATAAGAATTTAAAGCTATAAATTTACCTGCAAAGACTTTTTTAGCAACATCCCCTAAGTTTTGTTATGCTGTGGTTTTGTTTTCATCCACTTGTCATTTTTCATTCATTTTTCTCTTATTTTTAAAAAGACTGTCTCTTTGTCACTGCCTTACAACAGTCTATGTTATTATACATTCAGACATGTATCTCCTTAAATTTACTCTCCTTCAAGTTTACTTAATTTGTTGGATGTGCAGATTCATGTTTTTCAACAAATTTGATAAGTATGGGGCCACTAATTCTTAAAATATTCTTTCTTCCCTTTTTCATTGTCCTTTTCTTCTGGGATTCTCATTATGTATGTGTTGTTATGCCTGATGAGATTCCATAGCTCTGAGGTTGTGTTCACTTTTCTTAATTTTATTCTTTATTTTCCTTGGATTAAATAATCTCAATTGACTTGTCTTTAATCTGCTGATGCTTTCTTCTCCTAGTATAAATCGATGTTGAGCCCTTGTAGTGATTTGTTTCAGTTATTATACTTTTCAACTGTGCACGATTTAGTTTCATTTTTTAAAAAAATTCCATCTCTTCATTAATATTCTACTTTTTGAAACATGGTTTTCATTCTTGCTTTTAGGTCTTTAGACATGGTGTCATTTATTTATTTGAATACATTTTTAATAGATAATTGAAAGTCTCTGTCTAGGAAATCTAATGTCAGGTCTTCCTCGGGGACAGTTTCTATTGAGTCCTTTTTTTCCTTATCCATTGGCAATTTTTTACTATTTCTCTGCATGTCTCATAATTTTTGGTTGAAAAACAAACATCTAAAATAATGTGGCCAGGTATGGTGGTTCACACCTGTAACCCTAGCAATTCTGGGAGGCCGAGGTGGGAGGATCGCTTGAGCTCAGGAGTTCAAGACCAGCCTGAACAAGAGCGAGACCCCGTCTCTACCAAAAATGGAAAAAATTAGCCAGGCATGGTGGTATGCTCCTGCAGTCTCAGCTACTTGGGAGGCTGAGGCAGGAGAATTGCTTAAGGCCAGGAGTTTAAGGTTGCAGTGAGCTATGATGACACCACTGCACTTTATGCAGGGCAACAGAGAGATCCTCTCTCAAAAAAAAAAAAAAAAAGAAAAAGAAAAGAAAGAAAGAATGTGGCAACTTTGAAGATCAGGAATCCCCTCTGTCCCC